TTATAGTGGCACAGTTTGTAATAACTAAAACTTGAAAACAGCTCAATTGTCCATCAATTGGAGGCTGGATAAAAAGGATTTGGTTTTTATATAAAGTGGAGTGCTACTCAGCCATAAAGAAGGAGGAATTAGAGACATTTATAGCTAAATGGATGCACACTGAGGCCATATTATTAAGTGAAATAAATAGGACACATGTGTAAATACTGAATAGTTTCTCTGGTGAGAGAAACTGAAAATGTAAATAAGGACCAAAATGTATAATAGATAATTTGAAATAGGAAGAAAGGTCCAAATTAAAATGGGAAGTGGAAAGAAAGAAAAGAATGGAAAGAAATAAATACAAGAAAAGGAAAAAATGGAAACAAAGTCTTTGTATATACGGAGGGGTGGAGAGGTTGAGGGGAAGGCAGGGGAATTGGGAAAAAAAAATAAGAACCAAGATATGTCATGTAAATGTACAAATTCCCAGTAATGAATATCATTCCATTGTATACCTAAAATGTACCAATAAACTTAATGAATTAAAAAAAAGACAATTAGTGTGTAAGTCGGGCTGGTGATTTAGTTCAGTGGTACTGTACCTGCCTCACAAGCGCAAGGTACTGACTTCGATCCCCAGTACCAAAAAAAAAAAAAAGCATTTAAGTATGTAAGGTGAAATTTTAAAAGAAAAAAGTCTACAAAATTCATGATCAAATTCAATATTGTGAGAATAAAAAGAATTCTCACAAGTCATTAGAAAAAATGAAAAAATATATATCAGGTATTCTAAAAATAAATCTAAGTAGCCCACAAACATCTTACATCATTAACACAGTGATGATTAATTTAACAGAAATCCAAAGAAAAAAGAAATACTCTGTTAAATTGACACACATACTTTAACTATATCAAATGCTTTTGAATTTTGTATACCATTTCACCAAGCAATTTTGCTTTTATAACTTTATCTTAAGGTAGTTACAATGGAAATGAAGAAAAGTGCATGGACAGATTTACTAGTGTCAAAACTATTTGTAATAGTCAAAAATGGAAGTACCTCAGATATCCAACAAAAGGAGATTGTTAGAATACATTTTAATAAATTCACACAATAAGAGATATTATAATGTAATAGTTAACACTATAGACACTAATTATTAGTAGTCTGGATTCAAATCTGAATCTTCTAAATCTTATCTTTAGAGCGTTAAACACATTATTTTCTAAATCTCAGTATAAAATGGGGATCCTCTTAGTTTGGTAATTAGTATGAACATTATGATGAGCATTAAATGAGATAGTCCATCAATGAATGTACTCATTATATAGTGTCTAATACATGATGCTGATGACAATTAACTGTCAGTATTTTCTTTTTAATAGAGAATCATGTAAATATTAAAATTATGTCTCAGTAGACCAGATAATAAAATGGGAAAGTATTAACGATGTATTGTCAAGGGAAGAAAGCAGTATATAAAATTTTATGTGAAGTCTAATACAACCTGAATAACAAGAGAAACATAATGTATGTATTAAAAAGCAAGGAAGATGTACTTCAAAATGTTAATAGCATTATCTCTAGATTACTATTTTTTCCTTTGTAATTTTCTATAGTCCTATGCAATGAATGTCTATTTTATAATTTGAAAGAATATCACATAAAAATGTAATCAAGGCTGAATTTGTCCAGCTTTCCCCTCCTTGGCTATCACAAAATATTATACATTATTTTATTCTTTCAAAGTTGTAGCATACCTATTTTTCAACAAATTATTTCTTGTATTCTATAATTAGATTCAAAGCAGCAGTTTCCCTCCGCTGCTTTCCTTGCATTTTGGCAGACAGAATTACCAGGGAGGCTTGACAAGAATGCACTTTCCTGGTTATAGCTGATTTAATGCCAGTCACATCTAAAGAAGTGTTTTTTTTCTTTTTCCTTGAAACCCTGATAGGATTAAAAGCAAAAAATATAATGACCAAATATAAAGATACATGCCAATATTCAGAAATTTTTTCTTCTATTAGAAGTAAAAAATCCGCATAGCATTTATAGGTTCACTTGAATATTAATTATTACATTCTAACAAATATGCAATAACCTTAATAACAATGATGATAATGATGAACTGGTAATATTTTAAGTGCTAATAACATAATAAGTAGATGATCAACAAATATTTATCCAAGGAAATGGAACCATGTAGAAAACTTCCAAATTTAACTTATCTTAAACTTCAATGGTATTTTATAGTCATTATTTTTGAAAGGAAAGCTTGCATAGAGTTTTGTCTAGAGAATTGGGATCCACATCTTAACTATCACTGGGCTAGTGTTAGTTAGAGCATCCTTGACAATAGCACTTGGCGGCACTTTATTCTTTTCCTTATTATAAATATCCCTTCATTTGCTGTTCATCCTACAGCAGTGGCAGTCTCTGCTTATTAGGCTCTTACATCGTTTATTACTCTTTATCAAGAGTAGAGTCTCTGTTCCTATCACCATCCACAAATATCAGCCAAGATAAGATTTGACTCAATATGCCAGAAAACACAACACAAGATAACACCAGCTATTCTAGGAACGTTTAAATTAAGAAGTCCAGGGCTGGGGATTAGCTCAGTGGTGCCGCTGCTTGCCTCACAAGCACAAGGTTCTGAGTTTGATTCCCAGGACCAAAAAAAAAAAAAAAAAAAAAAAAATTCCAGAGGTAGGCAGTTTGTGATCAGTGAGAAATTTCTATGGATCTTCAGGAGCCTAAGATCCTTCCAGCTCATCACTGTGACATCTCCATGGGGTGTCCTTGACTTCAAGGATTCAAGATGACCCGTGGAACTGCACCCATCACAGCCATGTTTCAGGCAGCATGGTCCATGATGGCTATACAGTCTTCCTTTGAAAAGACCTTCTGCAATTTCCTCAACACTGTTTCTTTGTATTTATGTAAGTTGTTTTTTGCTGTGTAATAAATTACATCAAAACCTAGCAGCTTAAAACAGCAAATATTTATTATATCTGTTTCTTTTGTATCAGGAAAACATATACATCTTAGCTGAATGTTCCTGCCTCATGGTCTCTCTCAAGGCTGCAATCAAGTGTGACAGTCACTGAAGGCTCTCTTGGGGAGGATGCAATAGGAGATCACTCACAAAGCTGTTTGAAAGTCTCAGATCTTACTAGCTACTGGCTGGAGACAATCAGTTCTTGCCATATAGGTCTCTCAATAGAGGAGATTTCAATATGGCTTCCCTCAAATCAAAAGAGGGAAAGAGGGCACCCAAGTTGGAATCCAAAGTCTCTTAGTAACCTAGTCTTGAAAGTAACATCCCCTACATTGTTCATATTCTAGTTATTAAGTATCAGTCACAAAGATTTGCCTAGGAAGATGACTATAGAGAGGAAGAGATAACTATGGAGCCCTTTTAGAAGCTGCCTATCTCAGAATCTCATTACATTAAATCTTGCCATACACACTGCCAATGAGTCAAGGAAATAAAGTATTCAGTTATATAGCGATACACTTAGCTAAAATTCAGATTCTGTCACTCAACCAGCAGAGAGAAATAACTATTTGGCAGTATCTAGCACTCTCTGCCACATTTGCTAGTATTTTGCTCTTCACTCTATAATCTCTTTTTTTTTTTGCCTCCAGGCAATCAATCTTGTCTTCTACTGGTCTTTGTTTAATAGAGACCATCATATTTATCATTGCTGTATAAGAATATTGGGCCCAAACCATCTTCTTGACACACAATTATCAGGATGCTCAGGAATTAGAAGTTTCACTCATTTTTCTCCCTAAGCCTCTTTTCTAGTTTAATGTCAAAGCAATAAACTCTTTCTTTTTAAATCTCTCAAAGCCATCTCCTTCTTTTCATTTATACTGTAACTACCTTTAGATGGACCCTAAACATATTATTTCTGAAGATAATAATACTGACCTTGTTCCCAAAGTCACCTCCTCAAAGACATCCTTTAAACATTCCTGTGAAACAACTACTTCTATAGAGTCACATAAAGGCATAACAAGAAGTCTTGTGCAGAAATTTGGAAACTTGGGTTCTAGTCTCAGCTTTGCTCCTTACAAATTGTGTGACTCCAGGAAATCACAAACTCCTCAGAGATTCAGTTTCCTTGCCTGTAATTTTAAGACCATTCATGACATGGTCAATCAAGTTCCTCAGTGAAGGAAGAGAAGGAGTACACCTGGCAGCTTTCTCCTGCTCCCTTAGATTCCACGGCAGCTTAAGTGATGAGAACAATTATCAGTGGCTTGAATCCAAGTGGCATATACGCCTAGCACAGCAGTTGGTGAAGTTAAAGAGAAAGGATTTCCCAATATAATTGCTTGGGTGTGTTGCGCTTCACTACTTCATGATTCCTCTAAATCACATGCCTTCTCAATTTAGAGAGTCAGTGGCTTCCCACTGTCCTTTCATTCATTCATTTTACTAATGTGTGAATACTTACCATAAGCCAAGGGTTCTTAGAGAAAGTAAACATAATTAACAAAGATCCCGCCCTCAGAGAATATACTCTATAATTCTATAAAAACATACTCCTCCAGATCAAAAAATACATATCCTGAAATCCTTCTCTGCTTCATTACTGAGCCATAGATAATTTCAAATAATATTTTAGATACTGAGAGCTTTTCATTCTGACCTATTGATAAAGTTTTGCAGCCATGTTTTTCCAGGCTTGTTTTCTAACTGGCTTGTCTCTTTCAAACCCATTTCAACCTCTGTTGTTCAGCCACCGCTTCACAGCAGATTGTAATCTATAATGTAACATACTAGATTTGTTGTTCTAAGGTACAATCATTTGCTCCAGGAAAGTTCCACAGTGGTTCCTTTAAGGATTCTGGGGATGTTTGAATTCCATGATAGAAAAGTATGTTGGAGGCTTTAAAACATATCCTAATAACAGTGTCTAGGTCCCTTGTTGCAATGTCAAGCATGGGTGCATAAAATAGATTGAATCAACTGAACCCATTATGTACTTGTGCTGCATACCATTAATGATGGGCAAGAAATTGGACCAAGTGTTTTCAGCAGGACTTCAACAAGCCATTCCACCAGGAAATCATCACCAGCCAATCAAGCACCATGAGGTCATTTTAACTATTTGTATCCCATCCATTTTAGTCACGTGTTTGACATTCTTCTAGCAGTAGGATCCTTTCTGGAAAAAGTTCGAGATACAAAATCGACATTTAAAGGATTAGTTTATTTGAACTATGTTCTTAGGTTGGCTTCTGCTAGCCATTTTCTTAGTGACCAGCACATGTCAGCTGCTCACCCACACCTGCTTTTCCATTATGAACCAGAAATTGATAGCTTGATGTAACTATTTAGCTAAAAGAGTGTCTGTAAAATCCATGAAATTCTTTGATGAGATAGTTATGTAACTGAAGTTCATCACTACTGATATTAATCAGCCTCTTTTCTCAAAACATTATTCATGTAAATTAATTAATATAATTAGTAATATTCAACAATTTTGTCTTGCGCAATGAGCACAGCACCTCTTTTGTCTTTTTTTTTTTTCCTTATTTGCATTTAGCCTTTTACTTAGAAATAATCAACCATACACACTTCACTCATGGAAAAAAACAATACATTAATCAACAGTAGTCATTAAATAGCTTCCTTCATTTTTGAGAAAAAAATTACCCCAAAACAATATCTAATCTCTGTCATGATTTAACACACTGGATGTTGATAATTTTCTTGTCATTTCTGAGCACAAAAAGTTGACATTTTAAAAGTCAACAAAGTTCGATCATCATTTTCATTCCTTATGCAAAAAATCATTCACCTTGAAAACATTAGTGTTGGTCTCGGTGATGAACTGAAAGTTCTCCTCAGAACAAACTGAAGTATAGACATGGCCTGAGGTGGCTTCAGAATTTGACTGGGTATTTACATCAAAATGTAGCACTATCACTTAGCTGGGAGTTAAAGACATATTGAGCCAACATAAGGCACAAATTATATAGAAGGCAAACAATGTTTTAAATATCACACTTACCTTCTATTTTTATCATATCCATGTATTCTCATGCTATCATTGTTCCTAATTTTTCAGCTCTATCCTCTGCATGTCCTTCACTCTTTCCCATTGAAAGCTCATTTCTTAGTATATTACCAGAATCTTACAATCTCAGAGTTGGAAAAGAACACAGACTCACCTGGTTTTATCTACGGCATCGATGCTGTCTACAATATTTGTAAGGTTTTTTTTTTTCAGTCTCTGTTTAAAATGTTCAAAATGTAAAAATTCATGACTTCTGGATATAGCCTATTCGGTTGTAAAAATCCAACTGATTAAAAGAATTGTTTTCATTTGTTTGCTTGTTTGTTTGTTTGTTTTGAGACAGAGTCTCACTATGTAGTTGAGACTGACCTGGAAGTCACTATGTAGCCCAGACTGGTCTCAAATTCATAGCAATCCTCCTGCCTCAGCCTCCTGAGTGCTGGGATTACAGGCTTGTGCCATCACGCCCAGCTAAGAATTGTCTTCTATTGGATCAAAATCCATGGTTCACTTCCACTTTTGGCATTTTGTTCATTTGTTTGTTTGCTGAGAAAGAGAAAATTATGAAGCATATTTAAAGGTAACCTTATCTGAAGGTTTCCAGAGAAAGCAGAAAGTGAAGCATAAGGAAGGAAACGCACAGAAGGCCTGGCTGCCAGTCACTTAGCTTCACCCTGTAGGAGCTGAGAAGTACTTAGATTATGAGGGCTGTGCTTTCATAAATGGGGGAGTATCCTCACAAAAATAAACCCAAAGGAGCGTATATGCCCTTTTCCCTATGAGGACCCAGCAATGAGGCACCGTCTATGAGACAGGAAACATGTCTTCACTAGACACCAAATCTACTGGTCCCTCAATCTTGTACTTCTTGGCTACCCAAAATGTAAGAAACAAATTTCTGTTTATAAACCACCCAGCCTATAGTATTTCATTACAGAATCCTAAGACACCCTCAACATCTATTTCTTTCCTGTCATGGGGATTCTTAAGCCTTTGGAAAATTTTCTAAATGCCTTTCTCCAAGGCTCTGTACTACCAGATGTCACTTCTTATATCTCCTCTCTCATCTTTCCTGTATCCTTCCCATCATGCTTGAGTCATCCCTCTTATAAATGCTTTCCATTACCCCAGCCTGGCCTCAAGTTGTCACCCACCTTTTCTGTCTTACAAATAATTCATGGGAAGTGTAGCTCAAACTACTTAAGGTATAGTTTATGAACGACTCATACCAGTAACCCAAATACTAGTTAAGAAAGCAGCTCCTAGCGATATATCTGCTACTTTTTCTCTTAAAACAAAGTCACTCTAAGGATTGAGAACCATAGAGGTAGCCAATATTTCCAGTCTCCTCAGGCCACTGTAGATAAACTCCTGCCTCATCTGTTTACTAAAACTAATTCAAAAGGGCACTATGATCTTTACACTGACGAATCCCAAAGCTTCTCCTTTGAAGAAATTCCCCATTCTTAAAGTTCTACTTTCTGGTTTTCTGAAACCACTGTCCTTACTATCCTTTGGTGATTTCTTCCTTACTTTTGTCTAGCTCACACTGACCTTTTCTCTAACTCTTAATTTGCTCATACTTGAATTAAATTGCTTCCTAGAGATTTTTCCATAATCAATCTGTGTTCCTTGAATTCTTCTAAATCATGCTTCCTCCTAGATCTATAGGACTATGAGCCCCAAATATTTGTATTCTGCTTACCTCCATTTTCAGATTCCTTCTAGTTATAAAGAATCCTTGAAGACATTTTCAAACTTGTCCCTCCATTTTTGTGTTTGCTTTTTTTTTGGTACCGGAGAACAAACTCAGATTCTTGCACTTGCAAGGCAGGCAGCGGAACCACTGAGCTAAATTCCTGGCCTACCATTTTTGTGTTAATAAATACCAATGAGGTGGTTTCCAATTCTAACTAATAAGCTGGGTGCAGAGGCACACATCTGTAATCCCAGTATTCAGGAGGCTGAGGCAGGAGGATCACAGCAAATTAGAGGCCAACCTGGACTAGATAGTGAGTTTAGGACCAGCCTAAACTACAAAGTAAGACCCTGCCTCAACAAGCAAACAAACAGACAAACAAAAATTCTAATTAACATAAAACCCAAAGTCAACTGGTTTGAATGATAAGGAAAATATTATTTCACATAATGAGAACTTTGGAGATAGATCAGTGCCTTGATTAGTTAAATCAGAGGATAAATGACATAAAGCAAGACCCAGCTTCTTTCTATTTTTATTTCCTGCTATTTTCAGCCCATTGGCTTAATCCTCATGAGGTGGCTGCTCTAGTTTCAGGCATCACAGCCAGACAGGCCAGTGCCCACCAGAAAAAGAAAGAGGCTATTTCCTTTGTTATATGACCTATCAGTAAAGAAAAGCTTTCCTAGGAGACAAGATTTCCCTTATCCCATTGGCCAAAATTATGTGACATTCACTTTGCAAATATAAAATGGAAAGGGTGAGACCATTGCAATAAGCTTGCCTCTTTTGCATCAGATGGTTGTTTTTGAGAAAGCTGGATATCTGATTAGAGTCAGAGTTTTGTTAGAAAAGATTGAAAGTAGTTCAGTTTTTGCAATTTAAACTGACTACTATGCACAAAGATGGAACTCAGCAGTAGTTTAAAATATGGAAAGAAATCCAGAGGAAGATAGCCAGAATTGTTTTATCTCCATGAAATGAAGAATACACATTCCATCTAAGTTTTCTGTTCTTCTGTATGAGGTTTCCATGCTCCCATCCAGCCACTGCATTTGTATTCTAGGCAGCAGGATTAAGGAAATTAGAGAGAACAACTCCAGGGTACTCTTTTAAGGAGACTTCCTGGATTTCCCAGCCAAGATTTGTGATTATGTTTTCAAAGAGGTTGATTAGTGTCATTTTCAGCTTGTTCAGGGATTTGTTACCAAGGAAGAAAGTCTACTGGGAGGTAACCAGCAAATCTTGTATGGGTTGAATAGTCATACAGGCAGCGAATGCATTTGCTTCTCTCACCATTATCCCAAGCCATTCAAGCAAGAACCAAATATCTTAATTATTTCCAAATATCTGTTGGCATATTAAAGAGGAGACTGAGTTCCAATAATTTAATCTGCAACCCATCTAGATAACCTCTTCTTTTAACTCAATTCCCACTGCTCCTGCCTTCAATCAGATCTTACTGATCTGATTGATCATTTGGATGTTGAAGCAGTTCTCTATCAGTCTCTCTGCTTCTGAGCACTTCTTACTTCACTGTAGTCCTCAAATTACCTTCAAGTTTTTCCTTGAACACTGATCTACTGGAACAATTACAGTAATACTATTTCTTACAGAATAACTTTAATCTGCTTGGTGTGCCAGTCAAGCTCTCAGTACTCTGACCTCAATGAACCTTTTACTACTTCCTGTCCTTTAGTCACACTGGGTCAAGTCCTCTTAGAGTCATCCAGGTAACACTGAGTTTGGTGATTTTTGTTTTGATAATATATTGCAGTATTCTGTGAATATGTCATCTGCCTCTTGCTCCAAAATGTGCCAAATACTTTTGGCCAATGATATTTAATGTGATTCCCTAAACTGTGTATGTTCGGCAACATGTCTGGTTTATTCCACTATGGCCTTCCTGTCATTTATTTTTATGGTTTACCAAACAGTTTGGATCTATTTTAGACAATGAAAAGCATTCATATTATGTTCTTGGACTGATCACAAATGGTTTATATCTGGAGGTATTCCCAAAGCCTCATGTGCTCATAGGTGGGCTTGGGAGGTGGTGGTGATTGGATTTTGGCAGTGTGACATTCATCAGGATTAGCCCACTTATGAGTTTACAGTTAGATGTGATGCTGGGAGGTGATGTCTGGTTGGAGGGGGTAGGTCACTGTGGCATGGCCTAGAAGGGTGCATCTCCCTCCCTCCTCTCTTGACCCTCTTTTCTTCTTGCCACCATACTATGAGCTCTTTTATGTCCTTCTGCCATGCTACTGTGTCTTGGAGTCAGCCAACTATGGTCTGAGACCTCTACAAGCTATGAGCAAAAATAAACTTTTCCTTTTCAGAGTTGTGGTTGTCGGGTATTGTCTTAATGACAAGAAAGTAAGATAACAAAGAAGCAGCAAGAGGAGAAATTACTACTTGGAGTTAAAATGTAGTGTCTAAGGAA